AAACATCTAAGAACAATATTAGAATACCAAGTGAACAAAAAACATAAAGAATTATACTCGGATCTAAAAATAGCTGAGAATATAATAGATAATATTATCCAGCAAATAAAGGATAAAGGAAAAACTATTATAAACTCTAATATTGAACAAAATAAAATACTACTAGAAGAAAATCTTAGAAAAATAATAATAAACCTTCAAGAAATAATAGTTAAATTGGAAAATATACGATACCTTACTATCGAAGATATGAAAAAATGTTTGGAAAATCATAAGAATTCTGGAAAATTAACTATTGTTGCACCTTATACATTATGACAACTATTGACGAAAATATTAACAAACTAAATGATTTACTAATGGCCTTAAGCATTGAGTCTGAAAATGAAGAAAATATCGAAAATGAAAAAGTAGTTTTAGATTATAGTAGTGACGAAAATCCTTATACAAATTATGTCAAAACAGAAAACAACCCTTTTCATACTACGGAAAAAGGCGAAAACTCACAAACAATTCCATCAAAAACATATAAGCGAAGATTTAATGAATACAACGATGGACAAGTATTTTTCGATGAATATCTTTATAAAAATTATTATGCTCCTCGTAGAGAGGGAGGATGGACTAAAATTCCCCACTCATATATTCCAAAATATTCTACAACAAGTTATAATAGTCCAGATATTTTAGATCTGGATTGTAGTACTAATCCATTAGAAGAATTAGAAGATTGGAAAAATCGAACAGGACTATTAATTCAAACTAATGACGATTTAAAGAAATTACAGCCTAGTTAAATATTTAATTTCATAATATATAAAATTACTGGAGCAGTTTATCACTACCTAAGTACAATGGATATTCCTACAAAAACATTTCTTTATGGAGATGATGCCATAAAAACTTTTGAAAAAATATTAAATGCCTTAACCTATGAATTCCTAGGAAGATATCCACGAGAGAGAGAGAAAACAATGCAACATTGAGTAATCAAGCTATTTGGCACTTAACAAATTTAAGAATCTGTAATATGTGTTATCTAGAATCATTCATTTGTGAATTCAAAATACATTACTATCAAGTTATTCAAACAACACGAAAAGACTTGGATAAATTATTCTTTTCTAAATTACCACTAATAGTATCAGAAAAAGTAGAAACTGCCTTCAACGAAGCAGTTCAGAAAGAAGAAGTACCAAATACTTTAGGAGGACGAATTTTAACATTACAAGAATGGCATAAAAGAGCATGTAACGAAGAAAAGTTGAAAAAACAAGCAAAAATTGATCTTTGTTGTGAAGATTTCTCACATAAAATAGGAAAATACGGACGTAACAATGAAAACCAAAGGATAAAGAAAATACGAAAATACAAAAAATGGCGAAAAATACCTTATAAAGAATATAGAAGAAATAAGTATAGAAATCCTAATAAATATTTCAGAAATAGAAAACAATATAAACAAAAAACAAGAAATAAAGATTATTGTCCTAAAGGCAAACCAAATTGTAGATGTTGGCTTTGTAATGAAGAAGGACATTATGCTAATAAATGTCCAAAGAAAAACGTTAATAATAAGAAACAAGAAGTGCTAAGAATAGCATTCGATTGCGGATTTGAACCTATAGAAAAAACAGATTTTGAAACATCAGATATAGATATAATTGAATACCTTACAGACTTAGAGGTATCTTCAGATGAGTCAGAAGAAGATACTAACTAAAAGTAATCCAAATGCAACATTTATAAAAGTCACTATTGAAAACAAAGATTTTCTAGCATATATAAATACAGGAGCAACACTTTGTTTTGAAAAAAGGGCAACCATTAGAAATTGGGAAAAATTAGTTGAACCTCTAAAAATTGTAGTCGCAGATAAATCGATACACGAGATTTGGTATGTAAAAAATTATGTACCCATCATTATAGAACAATACGTTGTTACTGCAAAAACGATATATTTACATGATTCAGGGTTAGACATGATAATAGGAAATAATTTCCTTAAGTTATATCAACCTTTTACTCAAAGAATTAAAAATATTAGTCTACAAGCACCCAGAATGAAAAACCAAGAGTCCAAAATCGTTACAACTAAAATTATAACAAAAAATGAAGTATTGAAAATCGTTCTACAAAAATTAAAAAATAGGCTTGAATATATCCAGGTAGCTTATGGAATAGTTGAAGAAAAACTAGAAGAAGTATGTAGTGAACACCCATTAGATAGTATAAAAAACACAAATTCAGAATTAATAGAAATCAAACTTAAATATCCAAATATATAAGTTAATGTTCCCAATAAAATCAAATATACACAAAGAGATGTAGAAGAATTTCAAGAAGAATGTAAAGAGTTACTCAATAAAAGTATCATTAGGGAAAGTAAGAGCCCTCATAGCACTCCGGCGTTTTATGTAGAAAATAATAACGAGTTAAAAAGAGGAAAGAGACGTATGGTAATAAATTATAAAAAAACTAAATGAACAAACAGTAGGAGATAGTTATAAACTAAAGGGTCAAACGTGGTTTAGTAGTTTAGATGCTAAATCAGGATATTGGCAATTACATCTACACGAAAACACAAAGCCATTAACAGCTTTTTAATGTCCACCTCAAAAACACTATGAGTGGAATGTCGTACCATTCGGACTTAAACAGACACCAGGAATTTATCAAAGATTTATGGATAAAAATTTAGAAGGATTACAAGACTTTTGCCTAGCATATATTGACGATATCATTATCTTCTCAAATAAAGATAGGAAGGATCATGAAGAAAAACTAATCAAAGTATTAGAAATAATAAAAGAAAAAGGACTAATAATTTCAAAAAAGAAATCAAAATTACTAGTTAATGAAATTGAATATCTAGGACTAAAAATAAATAGTACAGGCGAAATAGAATTAACAACAAATGTTAAAGAAAAACTAGATAAATTTCCCGATAAAATGGAAAATAGAAAACAAATACAAAGATTTTTAGGAAGTTTAAATTATATTAGCGAGCAAGGATTTCTAAAAAAACTTAGCAAAAGAACGAAAACTTTCAGCAAAAGATATCAGACAAGATACCTTGGAAATAGGAAGATAAAGATACAGAAGTAGTAAAATTCATGAAGGCTAGTTGTGATCATTTATCTAAATTATATAACCCATGTGATCGCGATTTTCTCATAGTTGAAACAGATGCATCCAAGGATACATGGGCAGGTTGCATGCTCGCAATTCCCGAAGGAAAGAAATTACTATCTCTTGATCACTGTGGCAATTTACTATCTAAAAATGAATCAAATGATTCATCTACCAACCATGATGATAAATTACTATCTAAAGAATCGAAAGATTCTACAGACTATTCAATACCTTTTAATACAAACAAGTATCTAAAAAAGTTATGTAAATATATTTCAGGAACATAATCAGATACAGAGAAGAACTATCCAGTTCATGAGCTAGAAACACTAGCTTGTCTCAGGACATTGAAGAAATGGAAACTCGAATTGTTAACCAGCAGATTTGAGTTACGAACAGACTCTAAATATGTTACAGGTTTCTGGAGATACAAACTTGAAGCAGAATTTAACAAAGGAAGAATAATCTGCTGGCAGCAACAGCTACACTATTACAAGCAATATCTGAAGTATATTAAGTCAACAACCAACCCTCTGGCCGACATCCTTACAAGAGAATGGAGGGAATAATCAAGTAGATGCAGAATCAGCAACAGCAAAAGGAAGAACAAATACGATCTCTTGAAACTCAGCTTTCTCTAAGGAGGGGGGAACTAGAACAGCTAAAAACCACCATCAACATTCTGCAACAACAAATCAATGGAAAAACTCATCCATAAATACAACAAGAGAAATCAGCATCATCATCCACAAAATGGGCAGATCTGGTAGAAGAAGATGAAAAATATGAAGAGGATGAAAGAAAGTCAAAGAAAGGAAAATGGTATGTCATTTATGATGGACCATTTTGAGGAGTTTATACCAATTGGGCAATAGCTGCTCAGCATATTATCGGTCATAATGTTAAACATCAGTCATTCACAACTAAGGAGGAAGCAGATCAAGCACTTGACGAATCATAGAAAGCTCTTACCATGAAGAAAACAAATGAGCTGGTCATTCCAAAACAACGACTAGTAATGAAGATTCCTGGTATTAACATTAGGAATATCCAGACCACAAAGCTGTAGTCACAGAAGAAGCCTCACCAGCAATGGTATTCTCTCTCCACCAATATGGATTATTGGATACCATCTACACCAGAAAAATTGACATCCTCGACGAATTCCCCATTAAATTCAAGATGTTTGTTCAAAACTATCTGAAATTATTTTCCAAAGACAGAGAAATCTATCTAAAGTATACATCCAGCTATCCAATATTCAGCCAGGGAGAAATGATTATACCATCAAAAGCCCTCATCAAAATGGGAGTCTCAAACGGAAAATATCCAACAAGGGATGAATTGAAGACAACTAAAATACTAGAAAATCATCAGGTGAAATCATTATTCTCAGTATGCCAAGCAATCCATTACATCAAACCAACGGATAATATCAAGGTTAATTACGGAAGTGACATAAGGTGATCATCAGCAACTCCAAGGCACAATTCACCAAGAAAGAATGGGATATAATTACAAATTTACAAGAGATTTCATCAATCTAGAAGGAACATTGGCCCCATTACCAACAGAACAAAAGAAACAAGTGTGCGAATTATTGCAGCTCCACGAAGACCATATATGCATCAAGTGTGCAACATACACGATCACCACCACTAGCATCAATAATGGAGAGGAATAGTCAGGGAATCAAGAATGACTGACCCCACTAAGAAAAAGGAAGAGAAGAAGACAAGGAATAGTCACTCCACTAAAAAAGGTTGTTTGTTTGTTTTCTCACCTGTTGGAAGGTGATGTAAGCTCTTACGTAGAAGCAGGCTAAGACCTGCTATAAATATGTATCATATTCCTCATAAGGACGGTAGAGAATAAACGAGTAGAGTTGAGATTTCTCTCAAAAACCAAGACTTCGTCTTGAGGTGCTTAGGCACTGAGTGTTTGAGGTAATACTCTGGAGACACTCTTATCCCCTACCAAAAATACCACACAACAAAATCATCAGACCTACAAAAAATTCCTAAACATAACTCCAACGATCATCTCCAGCATTCTTCACATAGCATCACCATGAAGACGCTAAGTAACAAGGAATCAAACCATTTCAACTAACAAGAATCAGGTATGTCTGACAACCCTAGTACTAGTAAAAATCATTTTTATTATTTAAACAAGAATGAAGAAGAAAATTATTTCTTGGATGGCATCGTAGATATTGAAAAAATAAAAGAGCAAACTAGTTTTACTTTATCATAAACCCAAAATTTCATCACTAAGTCATTTTTATCTAAATTATTTGATAGAAAAAATATAATTAAATATGGAAAGATGATAGGAGAAACAACTATACCAATAGAACAGACAAAAGGAGACTTTCTAATCCAAATAATATATAAGGAACAAATTAGAAAAAAGTTATCAAAACTACAACAGGAAGAACGAAATAAAATAGCTTATATTCATATTAGTATGATACAAATTATTTTTAAATCAACAATGAAAACAAGAATAAGTGAGCCAATAGAACTAGAAATAAGAGATGACAGACTCATTAACAATGAAGAAAGCATAATAGCAAAAGGACAAGGAAATTTAGGAGTAGGAATAATTAAATTTGATATTAATTTACAACAAGATTTAAGTCTAACAGACGGAAATCTTGATTCCTCAATAATTATAAAATATGAACTAAAAAGAGACAATTTTATGAGAGAAAATAGTAAACCATTTTCAATAACATATCAAATAAACTACGCTTTGACCAATAGTCGTCATAGTTTAACATTCAAGGATAAAGAAGTAATTACCATAGAAGAATTATTTAAACCACTAATACATTTAGAATCCCCTATAAAAATATTTAAATCAGACTATAGTAATCCAAGAATTAGTATAGACTAACGACCTCCCTCTAGAAGAATAACAAACAAGTTAAAAGAAGAAGAACAAGAAGAAAAAGAAGAGATAAGAAATATTACAATACTTCATGAGTATGACGACAATAGTGTAATAAAGAAACTACAAGAACTAATCTTAGAAATAAAAGATAAGATATAAATACTATAATGCCTAATATTCACCATATAAATAAACTAATAGAAGGAATAGACGCTATCGATCTTACTTCAATAAACGATATCACTATGGTTACACTAGAATTATCATACTTTGTTTCAGATATTGTAGAAGAACAAATGAGTGTCGGAACTACGGAAACATTAGAGGAAGTTATTTCAAAAACCGAATTAATTACTGATATAATAACTAGTCTAACTAAAATAAAACAAAAACTAATGAATAATTAAAACTCAGTAACAATTAGTTAGGGAAACTGAAATCTATCCGCAAAACAAAAAAAATTATCAATTGAACCATGTCACTATCTCCTTTCATAAGGAATATAACAAAAAAACTAAAGAAAAGAAAAGCTACCTGAAAAACCATGCATATCACTTGTTTGAAATCAAATTCTTTGACAAGACTATTAAAATATTATATGAGGATATTTCAATTTGGAATAAAAAAATATGCAGAAAACTTTGGTATCAGAGCCCACAAACCCAATCAAGTTAACCAACCCAAGAATAAGAATAAAGAATCAAAAACTAAAATGAGAAACGACAAAAATGTGCAACCCGATTCAACCCAACGGGCTCACTTTGACACCCCTAGATGCTGGACAGGTTACTCATAGTTACTCAACATAAGGTTACTGACCTGATATGCTCTCTCCTTAACTGATCTTTATTATTTTGCTTCAAGTTCGAATTTAGATATTTGTGTGCCAAATAATAAGATTTTATGTGATCTACAGAATAATATCAATTTTGATATATGTGAGAGAAAAATTCAAAAGCATTGTCACGATCATATGTTCATGACTCATGCTCCTAGTCAACAATAACTAAAATTATATCAGTAGCATTCAAATTTATACCACTATACACGAATGACTCGTGTACGGGACCATAATTCACAATTTCATCCATGTAAATATTAACCTATACCAATATTTAATTTTCACTAATACAGGAGCAGAGCTAGGATCCAGTGGTCGGGGGGCTGACTTTTTTGTATAGTATCCGTAAAAAAATTTAAGAAGATATTTACATTGTGAGTCATAAGCTCCAAAATTTAATTATCTAGACTCCAACATTTAATTATCTAAATTGAAAAAATATTATAAGCTCTAAAATTTCATTATCTAGTTTGAACTTTGAAATTAAAAGATATTTGAATAAGTACAAAAGTTAAGTAATCGGTCTAAATTTTAAACAAAAATTTAACCAAATTAGGAAAACTAAAAGAAAGATGTTGCTACCAGGTATTGAACCATGGTACTGCATATTCACAAGCAGCTACTGCATTCCGTTAGATTAGAGACAGATATAATTATTCATTGTTTACACAGTATTGTTATTCTAGAATATTTAACTTCTTCGAAATTTTCAAAATTCTCGATATTTTTGCACGCGATCTTGACGGCCCCCTAGGAACAAGGTAGCTTCGCCTCTGCACTAATATACAACAACTAGTTACATTTTCTTTAAATGGAAGAAAAAAGAATATTAGAAACAAACTGAAATGCTCGAGGAAAAGCGAGAGAGATCTGCTTCTTTCATATTCGTTTTGTTTCTATAGTGTGCTTCCTTGCATTGCATGGTGGGCTTTTTAATTTCTACTGTCAACGTTATTACTTTTCCCAACCAAAGACTTTTGATATCGGTCTTCGGGTGTTATTTTATTCTTTATATTAATAAGACTTGCTAACAATATAAAAGGATTGGTAGCTGATAAGGTGTTTAATCTTGTTAGGGGTGGGCAACGGGAAACGGGTATTTGGGTATACCCGTACCTGTCCCGTTTTTAAGGGTTACGGGTACCCATATTACCCGTACTATTATAAACGGATGGGACTTGGGATTGTACATTCCTAATATGGGTACCCACGGGTTACCCGCAAATACCCGTTTGGGTAATGTGGGTACCCGTTTTACCCATTTGCGAACTCTAATCCATAGAAAGGGAATGTCCACTTCGCCACAAAGATGAAACTTTTCTTAGTAAAGAAACAAAGAACGCTATGGGAAATGCAACCTCAATAGATAGTATGGCTATCACTATATCTATTGAGGATGCATGCATTCACTAAGGAATGTCATATTTCTGCTCTTAAATATGACTTATTTTTAGTACTTAAATTTTGAATTTACTTAAATATTCATAACAAAAAAGCAACTCTTTCTTTCTCAAATACTCTCCCCAACCACACCCTCCCCTCTCACATTGTCACTGGCCACTTCGCAGTGGTGAAATTTTTTTTGGTGAAAAGAAGAGCACAAAGAGGTGCTCTAACCCTTATTATTAATCATATGAGGTTCTGAGACCACAATTACATCACATAACAACAAGTGATGTAGCATCAGATCGTAAATATCAAAGAGAGGAGCACTTCTACTATGCTATAAAGCATTGGTGCTTTAATGTACAACTTGAAGTTGTACTATAACGTTAAATGTATAAGTTCAGGTTGTACCATAAAGGAATTTGAACCCTTATGTTATTGTACAACTTCATAACTTAAAGTTGTACCGTCACATAAAGGTACAAGTTCAAATTGTACCATAAAAGAATTTGTACAAAAGTGTATAGGTACAATATGAAGTTGTACCATAATGTTAAAAGTACAACTTCAAGTTGTAGCATAAAGGCAAAAACCTATAGCACCAATACTATATGGCATTGTAAAATTCCTTCAAAGAGAGAGCAGCCTATGGGAATATCATGCCCCTTATTCCCAAGAAAATCACCCATAAAGTTCTGCTCTCTATAAACATGCCTAACGCAGATCTCTTAAAATTGTCCACCAACATCCTAGCTTGATGGATAATCGGGGCATAGCGGTGTGACTCATCAACCGACCCTCTAGGTAGCTCAGCCACTACCTGGGAGTCATTTGTAGTTTGACCCTCTCTACTCCATCCTTTGATGCAAGTTGTAAAGCCTCCAAAGCTCATCGTAGCTTGGCTAAAGTTATGGTACAAACTCCATAGTTAGACAGAAAGTTCCCCATAGATCTCCCCTCGTGGTTCCTTAGAACACCGCCCGCAGCCGCCCTTGAGCCCTCCCTCCGAACTGGACCGTCTGAGTTAATTCTGGCCCATCCCTCCTGAGCTGGCTTCTAATACAGCATTCGCTTTGTTCTCTTCACCTCTTCTTGTATGCCACTGGCCATTCCTCATCATGTGCTTTGCGAACAATCGCCACCCTGGCCTTAATCAGCGTCACTAACACCTCTGTCGTTGTCGATCCTCTTGCAAATATTCTATCATTTATGCAATTCCACAAATACCAACACGCTATACCAAAGATTAAGCACACACTTGGCGACCCGCTACAAAAATATATATTGCCCCTTTAGGGATGAATGTTACAACATTGACCCGAACTTCATTGCAAAAAGTGAGCGTCTGCAACGAGTTCCTAGTCTATGTTATAAGTGGTGTCAGAACAAAGATGGAAAACAAGTTTCATGATGGCGTTGAAACTTTTAGTGACAAAAATTATTACCACTTCCTTACCTTCCAAATACGCTAGAGAAAACAAATCACATGCACCACATATTAGAGAGAGGAATAACATTCAAGCAAATGCCTATAGAATATTGCTTAATTTTGAGTCGGCAACTTGGCCAACCCCGAACGGATGCTAGAAGCCTCCCAAAGGGCTAGCGCCACCAGACAAGAAAAATAGATGTTCCAAGGACTAAACTTCCGCCCAACACACTGGGCACGTTTCTAAAACTGTTACCTTTTTTAATGCAAGGGATCTTTAGTCAGTAGAACTTGACATAGCATCTGCCAAAGAAGAAAAAAAACTTTACTTTAACCTATATCAGACTCTCAGACTTGCATCCACAATTTATGATCCACTAGGCTTGCCTTGCTCTTCTACCGCTCCTACCTTTTCAACCTAGCTGGCAAATGAAAACCAATTTAACTGAATATTCAGTTGAGGCATACTCATACCATACCAACCAGCCCTCCATAACTTCTCGAGATTACCTAGTTGGCAATAACTATTTTTTCTCAATTACCGGCAATCAAACAACCCATACACTATTTTCCTTTTTCACTATCAATCATGTAGACACTGTTGAATCTACGCCTAAGGGAGTTGAGGGAATAACTTTTGGCATTAATTGAGATACCCTCAAGATCTATTTATCAAACATCACTGGAACAACCTCCATTGAGGTCCCCTACCACACTAGTCTTTCATACAATATGATTCACATTCATGAAGGATACTCTGCCATCCCCAAGATGGACGAGAAACAGCCCCTACTAGCAACAACATACCATTTGGAAAATACTTATCATGATAAATATGAGCCAAGAGAGAGGTGAGATCATCAAAGTTTGATTAAATAGCACAAATCGTCTAAACCCCATGAGGCCCTCGTGCTTGCTATGACACGTGACCTCCACGACACCTAGTGCATGTTTCCTTTTCCTTAGAGAACCCCCCACCAAAATTGTGGCATATGTTTATTTAAACAACAAAATAAAGTAAGTGGCAATTTGAAACAAGACATCACATGTATTGACAAAGGCGTCGCATCTGCCTTTAGGAAAGTCTCCTTTGCCACCCACGATAGTGCCTTTGTTTCCAACGTTTGTGCTTTGACATACCGCCGTTAGTGAGACCAGGTAATCCCCCTTTGAACGTAGACCAACTATTAATCTTGTGACTTATTGATCATATTAAGCAAGAGGTTGAGGTGGATGAAAACACCCCCGAAGCTATTGTGGAATGGTATGCCCGTGTTTCATAGAGGGACCTCACTTTTGCCCTGATGTAGCATCCAACCATTCCGCTGAATAATTAGCTGGAAATTTCAGAATTTTCTACCCATATCTACTATTTAAAATAATTAAGTATGCAGAAAATTTAACATAAAATCGAAATTTACAAAAACAATATAATCTATAGACCACTTAATGACCAATTTTATCCCTAATAGGCATATCACTAATAATATCCTCAGTTTGCAACAAACTGTCCACTCAATATCGAGGAAGGGTGGGAAGAAAGGAACCATGCTCCTTAAGGTGGACCTCGCCAAAGCCTAAAACAAATATGATTGGTCGTTTTTGCAAGAGACTCTAGTGTAAGCTAGAATCCCTCACAACAACGTCTGCGCCATTATGCAATGTGTCACACATCTGTCAAAATGCATATCTTGTGGAATGGAGGAGAAATAGAGGCTTTCACACCAACCAGAGGACACAACAAGAATTTCCCTTATCTCCCTACTTATTACGCTTTCTGTTGAAAGATTTAGTCATTCGATAAGTAGGAGTGTTAAGAGTAAGGTTTGGAAATCTGTTTCCCTTTCAGTTGGAGGACCACCCCTCTCCCACCTCTTTTTTATCGATGACCTCGTGATTTTTGCCAAGGTTGGTGTCAAGCAGGCATAGGGGATCCTTGCTTTCCTTAATGAATATTGTTAAGTGTCAGGCGAACTCATTAGCAAAGACAAATCTAGGGGTTCTTTTCTAGAAACATTAAGTTACCAAATAGGAGAAATATTTGTAACCGCCTAGGTATCCAACAAACTGACAATCTATGAAGGTATTTGGGGGTTCCAGTCGTCCATGGTAGATTGACTATGTTTCCTGCATTCATCTATGACAATATTGAGAGGAAAATAAGATGGTTTGTATGGGGCTCGCAAGAGGGTAGAAGGAGAGGTCCATTTATTGAGTTGGGAAAACATTTGCAAACCAAAGAATAAGGGGTTCTAGGTTTGAGATCTGATGCAATCTCAACCTGGCTTACATGGTTAAATTGGCTTGGGATATCCTTAATAATGATGATGATTTGTGGGTGCAGGTTTTACAAGGAAAAAATTTCCATCAAAGGAATGGGAACATAATTGCAATGAAAACGAATAACTCTTTGGAAGGAAAATCTGAAAGCAATGCCATTCATGCGGAAAGGCCTGGTTTGGAGTTTGAGAGACTTCCCTGTCACTGGCTTTTGGACCCACATTTGGTTGGACAATATGATACCATCTTTGAAGATTTTGCATTGTGTGATCTTACTAATAAGGAGAAAATGGAATGCGTGGCTGACTGGAATGGAGATGATGGTGAGTGGAATTGGGAAAGGGTCAAAGCTTTCATTCCTAATGAAATTGTAATTCGTATTGTAGGTATGAAGACTCCCAAACCAGGGCTTGGAGAGGACAAAACCATATGGAGCGCTAAGAAAGATGGAAGATTCAGACTCTGTTCAGCTTCAGCATACAACCTGGTTGTGGATGAAGCGAAAATTGAACCGCCTGCAGTATGGAAGAACATCTGGAAGTGACAATGCCCTAAAAAGGTTAAAATCTTTCTCTGTCTCGTGTCACATGATTGACTTCTCGCCAAAGCGGAGAGGAAGAAGAGACAACTCACCATCAATGACAAATGCAACTTTTGCAAGCATGAAATAGAAACAACAGAGCACATTCTGCGGAGCTGCTCCAATGCGAAAGGGATTTGAACTCACTTCAAATATAAAGTCAGAAAGAAAAACACCACCCTTGAATTTCAGTCCTAAATTAGCAGGAATCTCATTGTTGCTGATGTTGGTGTCGACTTAGGAATCGTCTGATGGATTCTTTGAAAACAGAGGAATAATGAAGTCATGGAAGGAAAGTTCTACTCTGAAGCAAGCTTGATCTACATAGCACAAACTTGGTTTAAGATCTACCAACAAGCACAAAGACCAGATGATTGCTGCCTCAGACCAGTCACCACGCCATCCACGGAACAGGAAATTGGCTAGAAACCTCTGGAGGAAGGATGGGTCCAGCTGCAGACGGATAGTTCTGTTATCAGCTATTCCAAGTCAGCTACTATTGGAGGGCTTGTTAGGGACTGTCTGGGAAACTGTCTTGACACTTTCACTTGCAACCTCAGGGAGTGCTCGATAACTATCGTAGAACTCAAGGAAGCTACTGATGGCCTCGATAGAGCTTAGAGAAAAGATTCAGAAAGATCGAACTCAATCTGGATTCCATGAAGGTGATTAACATTATGAACAATTGGGAAGATGATAACATCATCATGGAATCCTTGCTGCGAAACTCGGAGAGCTCATTAGTCGAGATTGGGAAATCAAAGTTCGCCATGTTTATAGAGAGCAAAACAAGACAGCTGATTTCTTGGCTTCTAAAGGCCACTCTTTACATTTTTTGCGTACATCATATCAGTGTATGCGATCCTGAACTTAGACATTGGATCTTGTATGATGTTTTGTGGATTACAACATCCCGCTCTATTATTAATATGAGTTAGGACGATTTCGTCTGACTTTCCACAAAAAAAATAATTAGCACAATTTATACAATTGTGTTCTTCAACAAAACTACTTAAACACAAGCATATTAAATAAATTTGTTCTTACCTTCTAAAGTGAGGTTGAAGGAATGGAGACGAGGAGTTGTGGGATAGAGAAAAAAGTTTGAAAGCTTTTGTTGCAGGAGAAGAGAAAATGAGAGTAGATAGAAATGGGTAGTAGAAGACAATTATTTAATGAAAGCAGATTGTACATTAATCCCTTTAGGGCTAAGCAATTTGTACTTAATCGTTATAAAAAAAGAAATCAATGAAATGTTGATAATTTAACTGGATTTCTTGTGTCCACAATGAAAGTTTGATCATTTACACTAGCGGGATTAAAGTATAGCTCATTGTACCCTCCAGGGATTTACTATTGATCCATTCGCCTAGCATCGATGAAGTGTTCTGCAAAAGTTGATCACATTTCTCACCTAAGATGATGGAGCAAATACCTTTTGTTTGGAACCATCAATGAAAAACATGTGTAGATTGGAAAATTTTGGAAGAACCATTTTGTTTCGAGAACTAGTGTACTTTGTGAAAAAAATATGAAATTAAGAGTATTAAGTTCGTCTATTTTCAATGTCATTCGACTCTCCAGTGTGTGTGTGTTCGTGCACGTGATCAGATTTTTTTATTCCGTCTAAAATAGCACGATCTCATTTTGGTGAGGGTGTTGAAGAAAAAAACGGCTTCATTTAATATTTGGGGGTGAAATGTGAGAGGGGAAGGATGGGGGAGTATACGACAAAATAGGTGAAGGGATAAGATTTTTAGGCAATTAAATATTTGGTCTCTTATTTGTCATCGTCTTACCAGTAAGATATTCACCTTTAATATATGTAGGTCAAAGTAACTGACTTAACCTAATTGAACTATGATTCAACCACTTGCTCGATCGACTCAATGACTAAACCTAATTTGACAATCTTATGCCAAAATCATGCATTTTTTGGAATGGTATAATGTGCAAAAGCTTTGCAGGTCTTGTGAGTCTTTGATTCTTTATGTGGATCCAGAGCTTTTAAATTGATCATATACCTTAAAAGACAACTGTATAAATTTAGGAACCCGATTCAATGTCTTTCGAATTTGTTATTTTTTTAGTGGTAAATTGCAAGGTTGGTCACTAGAATGACTAAAAACTTTCACGTTTGGTCGCTAAAAATGTTTTATTCCAATTGTGGTCACCAAGATTTGTTTAATATTCGAAGTTTGGTCACTATCCGCTAGTATATGTCAGCCTATGTTAACAACGTTAGTTTTTTTTCTTGACATGGCTAATAGAAATGTATAATTAGTCTATTTTAATCCGAAAATGTTTATACTAGACCTGCCACATCATCAAAACCCTCAAAGCCATCAAAACGAACCAACCTGTGACCCGACCCTATACTCTATCCCACCTGAACCACTCCCATTTGTTCTCTACCTCCCGCTGAATGAAAGGTCAGTCACCGGCTGACCCACTACTGCGAGACTACCCCTTTCTCTCACTCTGCTCGAAAAATCCGCCAATATGCCCTTCCCTCCTAGCTTCCCAAATTTTTAACCCCATACCTCTCCTAAATCCTCATCCAAGTTTTAATCCTAGGTCTTAAACAGAAAAAAAAACATCACCCTGTTTCACCCTCTCCCTTAACCGACAATCCTACAAAAAAACAACCCGCAAAAAAACTTCATCTTCGTTGGCTAAAACTCATCGAAGCTTCTCCCATATCTCCAATCAGAAGAAGAAATGAGAGAAATTTTGATAGAAAGTTTATTTGATCAGATTGAGTGTTTGATAAAGCTTGAGCTTAAAAGGGGGTGGTGGGGGGGGGGGGGGGGGGGGGGAAGCAAAATCGACAAAGTGATGGCCCAGGTGAAGATTCACTTTGTGCAGATTACTCTGCACCCCAATGGACTTCTGCATTGGGGTCATCTCTCACCATGACATTCTCCTCCACTTCCACCGTCACCTAAACCGCCTTCTCCTCGACCGTTGGTCCAAAAACATCGACAGTATTCCGACAACATCACCAGCCATTGGCAACTTCTCCCTCCTTGGAGACGAAATCCCCCAAAATTACCACCTAGTTGGGATTGATGTTGGCAAAGTCTGGTCATCAACGACCGATCCGTCGGCGATGACGAGGTCCACGACTTGTCTCCCCTCCTTAGCATCTGTTGGAATCCTTGTCATTGTCATGAATCTAGACGGAGGAGACCGATGAGAGAAAATCAGAATATGGTCGGAATGCAAAAAAGAGAAATATTAAGATGGTTGTTCCTTGTTCCTCATCACTGTTTGCAAAAGAGGGACGAGGTGAGAGAGAACAAAATTATATCTTTTGCATTCCCTTTTATTGGGTCGCAACGAAGTGAGAGATGATAGGAAAGATCTGTAGGTCATGGCTTAGCGGCGGCAGGGTATAGGGATGTCAATGGGTACAGACGGGTGCGGGTACGCCCTATGCCAGACCTTACCCACCGGGTACGTCTTGGAAAAATACCAAGTCAAATTACTGCCAGGTATTGAAAGAATATGACTGACACGCTAAAACTCAACACCAAACTGCGACCAAGTGTAAATACAGTCTGGAAATGCAGTAAGTGGCAAGCTCTATTTGTCAACCCAGGGCCTAGATCTACTGCCTACTCTGTGACTATTTATTATCTAGAAAACTAAGTCGAGTGATTGTGTTTTTAACTAAAAGTAATAAGAAAGCAGGAAATGGTTTGGTTTTCTAAAGCAAGGGAAGAGTCACTCGGGAATGAGTCCCCCTAGCTCCTTAGTTAGGTCACAGTTATAATTACTTTTGGTTGCTTTATTGTTGATTATACTGTGGAAGATCCGACAGTAGCTTGGAATCTCTTAAGCTGACCAAGCCCTTTCAGTCAAACTACCCAGCAGACGACTAGTCTTCACCGGGATAGAAAGCTGAGGCTATGAACACAAAACTCCACTACTGGAACTGAATTCCAGTACAAAGCAGTAAACCGACTAACTCTCGTATAATAGATTCACTACTACCGATTGAAGAAGCTCTGATAACCTAATCAGATTCTATCTATCTCAGGTTGCAGAAGAAATCAATAAAAGATGATCAAGCTTCAATTTACTCAATCAACACACTTCAATCGATTATAATCAAACAATATCACAATCCAAACGTCGTTACAACAATTATCCCTAACACATAGAACTACGGTTCTTCATACCCAAGTGAGAGAGGGTTCTACTCCATAGAGAGAGAGAGAGGTAAACAACAAACAAAGCTTTCATACTCATTAAGATGGGAAGAATCTGCTCTGTGATGGTGATCTTCACTCCAAGGATGATTTCCAAGCTTGATTGATGAAACCCAGCTCCAAAACCACTCTTAGAGGGTGTTCTTCGCACTTTCTCTCTCTAGGGCTCTGTTTTTTGTTCCAGAAAATCGATCCCCTCTCCTTAGGCTCTAAATTGGGTTAAAACCCAGAATTCCTCGACCACACGGCCGTGTGGCTTTCCAGTCTGCCCGTGTGAATGTGAAAACACCGTGTTTCAATTTATGGTCTTCAGGCACGCCGCCAAAAGCACACGGCCGTGTGGATTTCCAGTCTGACCGTGTGAGATCCCTAGAATTTCCACACAGCCACAAGGGGTAATACACGACCAGTGTGGCTTGGCCGCGTAATGGGATTCCACACGGCCGTGTGGCTACTAGGTCTGGCCGTGTGGATTCCTCAGCTCCTCGCTAGACGTCCAACTTTCGTCCAATCGACCCGAAACTCGCTCCCAAACCTCCAATCACGTACTAGGACCTGAAATAACACAAACGACAACAACCTAGCGTGAAATCTGCCTAAGATACGAGAAATGAGGCTCAAACGCCATAAGAATGGTGGATAAAAACATGTGTATATATCAATTAATCAAATTCCCCCACACTTAACCGTTTGCTTGTCCCCAAGAAAACCAAGTCAGATACAAGGGAAGCTCAACATATTTCAATCATGCCAACATTGGTGACAAATCATATAGGCACAGAACAAGTGAATCATACTGGCTTTTGATCATTGACATATGGACAACTCAACAGCAACCTAGACAACCGCCATAGAGGACATTCGAGTGCAGCAAAATCGGGTAAAGGAAGAGGAATCCTTTCTGCTCATCAACCAAACATAGACTTGACTCAACCACTTGACCAAGACAGTCATCGCATGCATCAAACTGAAGACATCTAAATCAAGACCGAGCCATCTAGGTCCTCACCGGGGTAAAGAGCATAAAGAATAAGGAAATGAATCCATCACTCTCGACCAATGGGGTCAGGACAATTTGATGCAAAAAATGCGCATGCTTATTCCCTCAAATCATAACGTCTCTTCACCATCATGGCAGCCTCTAAATGTTAGAGTTCACACAAGGGATGTCACCAATAACTAATCCGGAAGTCTTAGACACAAGTTCAAGCGACTGGTTAGGGTCTTGAACATGGGGGAAAAGGCCTTTTTCGGTGGTGGAATTATTCATACCACAAGGTTCCATAGTTCCAATCCCACCACAATCACATTCAATCAAACCACTTACTTTCTTTCTTCCATTCTGCATTACTCAAATTCTCTAGATCACAAGAGCGAAGGAGGTCACAATAATGTTAGTATTTCCAAGCCAGACTGCTAAGAAACACTACTTAATGAGCATGATTCAAAATTTTTGGGTAGTGGCTCTCTTTTGCTTTCATTCATTTTTTTTCATTCTATGAGAGAACACCACCTCTGCACATTTTTCAAACACATGCCCCATTTTTAAGCATTACCTCCACCCCTCACATTACATTTAGCAGAAACAGCTGAGAACATGCAAAAACCACTCTGTGGAACCTTCTAAGAGATGCAAAAGGGTGATTTTCCATTGTAGACCGAAAGAAAGAAAAGTACACGGCTCAAAGGGGCTGACTAGGGGGTATGACACACCAGGACAGTCAATTTGGTCGTGGTCTAATCCTATGCCTCCATCATCTTAGCTAGTGAATGCTACACATCATGGAAGAGGGATCTATCACACAAGAAAGAAACAAGCATGCTCAAATCTCACATGGGTACCTATATGCTCTATCTCTCATTCAGATTCCCTGAACTAGATGCATAAACGAATGTCAGGAGCAAGTGATCAATCCAAGTCACAGTTGGTAAGCAAACAGTTGAAAAAAAAAACTGAACCCCTACACAATTCTACTGCACGTCTCAGTCATCATCATAGATTGTCCTAGTTACAATCAAGTTGTCATGCATTAATTCGAAAGCCATTCGATTCACCAATCAAATCCACAGTGCCAATATGATCATGCAAACCTCAGTACTTGGAGCCCTCAAATCTCGAGATTTGGGCAGCGGACTAGGCTCCAAGCACGCAAATATAGATTCCAACCAATACAAAGCATCCCCCCCCACACTTAAGTTCGACATTTCCCTCAATGGAGCAGAGGGAAAGATAAGGGGAATGATGTTACCGGAAGGAAAGACTGTCGGGGAACTGGAAGTGGACTTGTCAGCGGGGCTAGCATCAGCAAAACACACTGGGTGATAGAAACCATATTTCCAAGTGGACAAACCGAAAATAAACGAAAGGAAAACAAACCTTGGTGGGGTTGCCTCCCCACAAGAGCTTCTTTACCGTCTTTTAGCTGGACGCCGGTAAGGTGGATGCTCAGAGTGGTGAAGGAACAGGTGCCTCCAAAAGCGGATCCACATCGCTCTTGAGGTACAACTTCAAATGGTGGCCATGCACACGACGGGTGTGACCACCAGCACTCGTCAACTCGACCTGGCAATCCGGCAGGATGCAAGCGAGTGAATACTCGGATGGCCAAGGCGTTCGAGGCTCAGGAGGCGGGACCAGCTCATAGTAGTCTCCGGCTTTCTTGTAAGCAGGCTTAGCTACCTGCATTTTCGGCCTCCACTCCTCCTTGATCTTTTCTTTTGGTAACGGAGTGGACGGGAGCGGCGACGAAGATATGGGAGGGGGATCCTGCAAAATGGGAAGCACAGAAGGATACACGACAGACTCGTGCTCCTGTTGAGAGACAGCATGCAAAGGCGATGAAGCAGGGAGAATATTAGCAATGGAAAATGTTATTCGCTCCTCGCCATCCCTCAAGACTAAGGTCCCATCATGTACATCTATGAGAGCCTTGGCGGTGGCCAGGAAAGGCCTTCCCAGTATAAGGGGCACTTCTGTGTCCTCATTGATGTCCAAGACAACAAAATCCACAGGATAAAAGAATTTGCCAACCTTAACCAGAAGGTCTTCCACTATGCTCCTAGGATGAACTATAGATCGGTCAGCTAATTGAATACTCATCCTAGTTGCACTGGGTTCACCTAGGCCTAGTTTCTTGAACAATTTATATGCCATAACATTGATACTAGCACCTAGATCAGCCAAGGACCTCTCTACGTGAAATTTACCTATAGAGCACGGGATACTAAAACTACCTGGGTCCTTCTGCTTCTGCGGCAGCTTGTTGTGCAGAATGGCCAAGCACTCCTCGCTGAGCTCCACAGTGGCAATCTCGCTCAACTTCGGCTTCTTTGAGAGAAGATCCTTCAGGAACTTCGCATACTTAGGCATTTGAGATAGTGCCTCCAGGAAGTGCACTTGGACATTCAGCTTCCTAAGCATGGACATGAAGTTCCCGAACTCTGCCTCTAGCCTGTTGACTCACTTCTACTGTCACCCTAGGAATTGGCCAAGTGAAACCACTTCCTAAAGCGTAGTATAGCGGGTTAGGTTTATATGTCAACCCGGGTCCTAGATCTGATGACTACTCAGTGAATTCTTGTTATCTAGCAAAAAATTGGAATGCAAGTCTAAACTAACAAACTAACAAAGCAAGTCAACGGTTGTATTCAGGTTAAGAGAGGTCACCCGGATATGGTTCCCCCTAGACTGCAGTTAAGCCGGATTGTAATTACCAAGTTCAGTTTCTATGATAGTTATACTGCGGAAGGTTCTTAAACAGCCTGAAGTCTCGACTAAAGGTCTTCAGACCCTCTCAATCTGAGTCTCTAGCGGGCGACTAACCTCCACCGGAGTAAACAGATTGAGGCCTTAACAAACAAAACCTCCACTACCGGAGTAAACCCGGTACAGAATAGTGAGTTGGCTCCTCGACTAAAGTCACCAACTCCCTACCTTCAATCAAGGATGCTCTATCAACCTAGGCAGATATTCTCATTCTAG